GCTTTCTAGAATTAGAGAACTTGTGAGATCCAGGTTAAGACTGCTCTGTGAAAGAAGTTTTGGATTTCTATTATTGCAAGTTGGACAGTTAAGTTAAAACACCTGAAGAATTTTAATCAGATCACCTTTGGAAAAGTAATTTTAAATGTCGAGTTAAGTTTAACTTTTAGGACGAAAATTTTTTGACGAAGCATGATTATCTGATAACAAGTCATCGAATGAATTACTATGCTCTTAAGAAGATATAAAAATTCTGAAAGGATTCAGATTTTGAAGTCACAGAGACGGTGAGCTCTATCACAGTAGTTCTCAACCTTTTTTTTTTTTTTTTATTTAAATTTTGCGCCTCTTTTATTTTAATTAGACAATCATTCTCTCTCTTCTTTCCAAAATTGAGAAAAATATGTAAAGATTTATTTAAATTTAGATTATTTTTAATGTATTTTATAAAATAAACAAGAAAAAAGTATACAAAATGTTGATAAATACCAAAACTTGAATAAAAGTAGGTTTTATATACGTAAATTAAAACTAAATACTTAACAGGTAAATAAAAGTCTGACCGCCTTTCATCCTGAAACTACGAATTTTTCCTCAGGGTGGAATTCCCATTCCCCGGTTGTTTCGTCGCTGTATCGTAAAAGTGAAACATTTAAGAATACAACATTTGCCTGTGGACTTTCATCCTTTTATTCCGCGGTTTCAACTTTAGAATATAAAACTGCAAAGAGCGAAGCGTGGAAGTCAACAATTAGCGGTTACAAGAATACAAACACAAACATGTGAGTTGCGGAATGTGAAATAAGTTCTCACAGACATACAGGCTCTCTGGTCAGACAGGCAGGCGATCTGGCAGCTGAAACACTTGCGGTATATATATTACAAACATGGACCTTACGACACGCGTTACCGTCAGAAAAACAAATATTCGGCAAACAGTAGTTCTAAGCATCCATGTTGTTATAATAACGAGCATTATAAAAATGAGTTACAGAGTTTTGTACCTTTTAAGCGTCATTGACTGAATTTAAATATTTACGAAATTTACATTATGGATGCTATTAGCTATTAATACAAGGATTGCAACTTCTTAAATATATATATATGTAATGTTTTCAGTGCTGGACGCCACTAGAACTTAACAGCTTTCGACAACCGAGTAGAAAGTCAGGAAGAAAATGTTGACACTTTCCAAGTTCAGCTAATTACACTCTTTATTTCTAGGCAAATTAGAATTTCTTCGTCGACAATATACTTTTTGACTATAAACAAGTACCATAATTTCTTATATACACTGGTAAAAGGGGGTGACATCAAGCAGAGCAGCGGAGAGATTTTTGACAGTGCCGGAAGCTAGGAAAGGAAGATGACATAGTTAACTTGCGAGTGGTATTTATACTGAGTATAATTCCAAGTAACATTTTTTCCTACAACAACTACAAGGTAGGAAAAAATGTTACTTGGAAAAAAAGGAACGGAAAATAAGGAAAAGGAAAATAAAGGCATGTTTAGAAAGATCGCCAAGCTGGGAGATAAAATTTTATCACAGTAATCGTAGCTTTGGATAACCGAAACTTCTGAGAATTGCAAGATGTGCGAGCTTCTGCTTCTCCCTTATGGTAAAAATAGAGTGGTGTCCAGCGGGCAAAGGCTGGTTGCGTAGTGAGTGTCATTGTCAGGCCATTAGTAACTGCTCCCCTCACAGGAATTCATCTGAGCTTTAGTGTAAAACAGTATTATAACAAACAGATGTAGATGCAATTTAAAGTCACGGTTTGCGATAAGAATAGTACTCAATTTTTTAGCTAATTAATTGTCGCATATTTTTCTCCTCATTAGATTTTAATTAAAAGTAACGTATTTGAACAGGAAACAATTTTTAATTTTGCTTTTAAGGCTGAATAGGAAAACAAGAAAATCATAATTATTAAAAATTAAGAGGTTTATTTCAAAATCATATTAAAATTTAATTAAAATGGATCCTATAACCATGTCATCTGGATTTAAACATTTAATATACAATGATTCCTCTTGTGACGACCTCTTCCAAAAGAATTTCCCAGAGTAGAAATAAACGCTTGTACTGAGCATTATCTCTCTAAGACGACCACCTCCACCGAAGACCAAAATAATTGGAAATGTAGATGATCGTCTAATATACTTTTACAATGCACCAGTGCGTGATCCACCTAGATCCGTACCATCTAGTAGCACCTAAGACGATCACTTCCAAAAGTGACCAGCATTTCTAAATGTATAAATAAACAAGTGCACTGAACATCATCTTCCTAAGGTGATCACCTCTACAGAATACCAAAAATCAACTAGAAACATGGATTGATATCTTAGAAAGATTTTTACTCATAGTAGTTACATTCATTACAATCACGTGTAAAGATTAAGGAAACTTATAAGCGACTGAGCAGTTAAGTTGCTGAATACTGGTAGTTAGACCTGGGTTCAATTCCTAGCAAAGTGGTTTTTCGTGGTTTTCCCAACATATAACGTGGTTACTAGCGAGTTTTCCTTAGAAAGCCTGAATTAGTTCTGTTTCCGCGAGTCCTCTTTCAGCGTTTTTTAAAATTTTTCCTATGCCCGCGAAATCGGAGAGTACAGTACCCCTCCCACAGCTCTTCAGGATACGTCACAATGAGTCATTAAGAAGAGCTGGGCAGTTTCTTCGTGAATAAGTTAGTTTTCGTAAGATTTAAGACATGTCTTAGGCTCCTCTTGAAATCTTAAGTTTCATTCCATTTGTAATTCTGCTACAATTCCTAGCATTCCTAGCAGTATTCCTTACGTTAATTAATATGAATGTTTTAGACATTATTGGAACTAAAAGGAAAAAACGGTTAGCCCTTTATAAGGGTTATTAGTATCGAATTTAGAATAAAAATAAGAAAAATATAGCCTATTGGATTTGCATAAATGAAAGAATTAAAAGCTGCAAAAGTGCAATTAAGATCAAAGAAGTCGTCGTTGTAGAAGAAAGAACGTCGTTTTAGAACGAATATTTATTCTGAAAGATTTTATTATAACTCACCTTTATGCAGAATTTTGGAAGAACATTGTTTTTTACTTTAGGAAACAATCTTTTAGTGCATTGCCAAAATCATTGCAGAGTTCGAATATCTCTCTCTCTCCTTTCAAACACAGTATTATCTTCCTTCACGCAAAGATCTGAGATCGTAAATATTTTTCGATTATTTATTTTAAAAATTCTTCTTTTTAAATTATTATTATTATTTTTTTTTTCCTTTTCTACCTTTCAGGAGAGGTCAAGGCCCATTCGGCCCCCCACTACGTAACCCCTTTAGGAAGGGGGCTAATGAAGACATTCGCGGAAACAGGAATGATTTTGACAACCGCTGAAACAGGAATCGCAGAACAAGAAGACACCGAAAACCCTCCACGAAGACAACTCTTCTCTTAGGCGATAGTTTTCGTGCACTTTGTTGTAATTCAAACCAAATTAAAGAAACTTATTCATTTTACTCTCTAAATTGAGCCCCAAATAAATCATATGTGGGAGCTTTTCGTATTCAGAACCTAAAATGTATCAGAACGGAAAATAAAATAAATTTAATTATTTAACTTGGTTATCCAGAATTCCAATTTTTAATTTATCCCTAGTTTCCAAAAAATCTGAGCATGAATAATCATGTAATAAAGCATAGATCGATAACTTTGAAATTCAGAGATTAACTTTTATGACCTCCGACCTCTAGCAACCGAGAGGTAAAATCGTTGAATATTGGTAGTTCGACTGGCGTTCAAACCATAGCGGATGAGCTGCTTACACGAAAATTTTCGTGGTTTTCTCCATGTGTAACATAAATACGAGTCAGTTTCTATCAAATGTATGAAATAATTTTTATATCAGCTCCACACTATAAAGAGTCCTCCATGAAGGTCAAAATTCGTATTAGTGGTCCACCAAACGTAAAATTATATATGTAGTGGTCCGTGAAGTTTATAGCCTTGGCTACTAATTTTCAAAATTAATTTATGATTAGGAATAGCATGAATTATAAACAAATAGCTAGGTTTATTCCAGCTATCGAAATGCGACGCTATTAGAATAGCAACGTTTTTAAACCAAAACCAAGCAATCATGAATCAGAACTAGTTGCCATTCAGCATAAAGAAATTTAAATATAAATATGAACTACTTGTTGCCATTCAGCATAAAAGAAATAAAATATGGCTATTAAAAAAATTAAACTTAATTTTATAAAATAATTAAACAAATGAACAAATATATGAAATAAAAAATAATTATTTCTCATGCATTAACTAGCATGCAAATAATATGCAAATAAGAGCCGGGTAAAAGATTTTTAACCTGGGTAAAGAGGTATATATGTTGTATGTATACATACTTTTTGTACTGCTGATTGCAATTAAAAACGGAGGTGCACAACTAAATGTTACAGTAGTTTCATGTACAAAATTACAACAATTTACGGTTAATTGTTTTTGAGTTATGCAGGGTACATATAGATGTCAAAAAAAAAAAAAGTTTTCAATCCATTTTAAAATAAGGACTTCTTTATTCTTTTCATAGATACATAAATCAGACACCCCCTTCCCCCCAAAAAATAATAATGATGAAAATGGATTTGGGAACAATCAAAATGCATATTTTCTTTGAAATCTGATTAACAAAATTTTTCGCAATTACAATACTTCCGTCACTTTGTACATCCAAAAAAGAAGAAATCCATTTCCTTTATAAGCCTCTGTTAAAAAAAAAGAGGAAGATGATATCAATAAGATAAGTAAAAGAATAAAAATCTCATCTTTGTTGAAGAATCAGTGATGGCGAATGTTAAGAATCAAGGATGGTAATTTTTGCGATGTATCGGCAAGTACAAGATAACCGATAAGTACCAAAAGATGTTCTTTTTGTTAAATGTCTTCAGAACTTTGGACAAAATATGATCTAAATGGATTTATATGTATGACTTTATCAATATATGTTATTTTTACACCAACAGGCCATTCGAGAGACTTGGGGGCATCCTGCCATGACACGATCATCGAATTTGACTGTGGCTTTCGGATTCGGCAAAAGTGAAGACATCATTTCCGAAAGACAATTGAACTGGGAATCTGCAGTCTACGGTGATGTGTTTCATTCACCGTTTGCGGACACATTTGAAACCTTGCCCAAGAAAGTGCTGAGCTTGTTGGACACAGCGTACAAAGCATGTCCGGAGCCAATACCTTTTATAATTAAAGTAGACGATGATGTGTTCGTTAATTTATTTTCTCTTGAAGATCTTATTACAGGTACAAAGTACACGTTGCTTTCTTTTCGTATTTTAATTCAGGAGAAACTTGTTCATAACGTTTTAACTTTTTAATCACAATTTTTTTATTTCGTCATACTATCTTTTCTTTAATTTTCGACAATAATTCGCCAATAAACTATAATCACAAAAAGGATGTCCTAAAAAGAAAAGTATACTCATCAAAAACTAAGAATGGGTAAAAGAAAATGCCGAAAAAGTTTCAAGATATAGTAATTTTCTATATTTGCTGCCTTTATCACATAGCACATATCGAAATTGTATTCAATCTTAGTTTGTAAAGTTAAACCTGATTGCATCTTAAAATATTCCTAGTATAACTTTCCTGTGGCAAAAGTGATTTATGTCCTTGCCGTGAAGTAAAAGTCTAGAATTCTAAGGAATATAAACAAGAGCAATTCTAAACTAAATGTTTATTCACACTACAACTTATAATTACAATTAAAATTTAACAAAATTGAACTCATCATTTCTTGCGGAGTCTTGGAATACAAGACAGAAGTGTTTGTTCCCCTTGAAAAGTCAACTAATTTCCGATCAATGACAATGCTTACATGTTTTAATTTTTCCTTTTACAATTGAAATTTTATTCTTCATGATGATTTAACTCCAGTCCCCGTTAAAACATTATTAACATTTTGCTTTCAAATTACTTCAAAACATCTTTCAAAATATAACTTACCAGTATGGATTCACACTTTTAAAATAATTCTACTTTAATTAAACTTAGGAGATAATATAATCAATTAATCAATACTGTTTAGGAAATAAATTATTATCAACATGATAACTTGATATATTAACTAGGTACCCAATCTCCAAATAAATAACCAGGCTAGACTACAAGTGGTCGGTCCACGAGAGAAACAACTTTCGTGAAATGTTGCCACATACTCTGTCTGAAGTTACACATTTTCACACACTTTAAATATAATTTAATTTACATTCTGGTACAGGCGATGGAAGAAAAAAAAAGATAAGAAGAAAGAACAGACATAAGAGCAGGCATTTTGCCACCCGGTGCTAACTCTACGGGCCCTAAATTCTACTGGCCAGTGCCTCTCCTAAAATCAAAAATTTCATCATCCCTAAATTTTGCTGCTTGTTACTTCTCTAAATTCTAAAAATTTTTATACCCCTGTAAATTGTGCTGCCCAATACGGCCACACCAGCTTTGGCGCCGGCCTTGCATAAAAGTAACATATTGGTAAAAACAAACCTCAGATACCCTGAATTTTGAAATTACAATGGTTTTCTCCCGGAGGATTTCATAGCAGGTACTGTTGTCGTGGCCGCACCAAGCAGTATAACTTAGGGCGGAAAAATTTTGGAAGCAACTGGTGGTAAAAGCTTATTGTTAGCCCTTGCTATTACAATTCTTTACATACTAAAAATGATGAGTCATTTGAAAATACACAATTTTCTTTGCATTGCTCACAATACAATGTGTCCATAATTTAATTGCCAGTAACCAAATTAAATTGAAAAGTAATTTTACTAGTAACAGAAAATAATTTATATCGACATAATCTTCAGTTCAAGGGATTTCATTTGTTCTAATTTTTGGGAATGGAACAGGGAACGTGTTTGTTTACAGACAAAATGGCGTCAATGAAAAAGCAATGTTCTTTGGTTATAGGAAACGAAATCTCCGAGAACAGTTCCAAGGCTATTTGTTAATAAAAAATTCGTTTAAAGTTTTACAAAATATGAAATTGATAACAAAATAAATTTCAAATTTGGGCTTTCAGATGCCCATATTCGCAGAAGTGATACACCGTTTATAGCATTTCGACGCAAAGTCACAAAATGAAAATAATAGTCCTTCAGGGACAAAGCCCCTTTGGACTAAAAAAAAACACTAATTCCATACTGGATAGTACTGGAAAATTGTTTCAAAGGATGATACTCCTATACCGTTGCAAGTAATACTTGAAATTTCAATTACAGTTTATGCTGTTAGTTTTTAAAACCATTTGTTTACTGCAAGATGGAAGAAAATTTTTTCGAAGCAGAACAAATTCTCATGATTAAATATTACATCGCAATGGATTCTTATGAAAACATTGTTAATATTCAGTACCTTCCAAAGTGTTTATTAAGCTAACGAGACAATTTTCTCCTTGATAACTTAATTAAAATGAATTGGAATTGTACCATATGAAATGAGGTAGCTGCCTGTCTCTCCCAAGTTTCAACAAAATGGACGAAGGCAGGAATAAAATGTTGCAATCTCCAACAAAGAGTGTGGGGAAAAATGGCATCACAATTAAACTTACGCATTGCCAAGTAATGCTGAATCATAAAAATTCATTCTGCTTGGGAAAAACTTAACTCCGTCTGAGCAGACAAATGGTTCTTAAAGCTGACAACATAAACTGTAACTAAAATCTGAAGTGATATATTACTTGTATAATAGTAAGGCATGTCATCCATTGATGCTATTTGGCATTACATTTATAATTCTGATAGTTTAATACATTCCCTCCTCCTTGGGGTCATTTATTGTACTGGCTCAGATCTATATGCTGACAGCCTCAGCACCAAGGATATAAAAACAAAAGCCTGGTGGTTTGAATAACCAGAGGGAGAGGGCTAAGGCCCTGTCACATCAATAGCATGATTGATCCACAAGCCAGATGGCTTAAAGTCCATTTGTACTTGAGGGGGAGGACAATCTGATGACTAGTCAAATCTCCAGCTTCATAGACTTTCACCTATTCTGATTTCTGTGCCCCTTGCTGGCCAGAATAGCAGTGGTTTTAAGAGAGAGATTTTTTTAAAAGCCTGCCATTATGGGGAATGTGTGGCAGAAAAAGACAATGATACTCTCTCGCATCAACCTATCTCCTTCCTAATACGGAGGTCAGGGGTTGGTGCGTGTAATGCCTTAAGTATTTGGCAGAACACGCGAATATATATACAGCGTATTTAATAATTACATGTTACTGCAGTCTCAAAACTGCCAGATAGTCAAACTAACTGTATGTGAATTTTGGTTTAGTGGTTATACTTTTGCAATTATTTTCAAAACTGCCAGACTGTCAAACTAACTGTATATGAATTTTGGTTTAGTGGTTATACATTTGCAATTATTTTCAGGCAATTTTTCTTTAAGAAAAAAATATAACAAACTAGTAGACATAACAAGGTGAGGATATATATATTTAAAAAATAGTATTAACAATAATGACCTAAAATCTTATTATACCACTAAAAATAGCTAATTAACCCTTTCAGGACGGGTGTCCCATATAAGCATTCTATAAGAATGTCTCTTACAGCTGGGTGTCCCATGCATCACTAGAGATTGCATTCAGAGGACGGGTAATGCATATACACATTTTAACCTGGAACGTTTTTCTGATGACCCTTAGATGGCATCCTATATCCATTACTTTTGAAATGAACACAGATTTAGATTCCTGACCTTGAGTTTGATATATTCTGCCTGACTTTGGTATTTTACTAAACTGTTGCGAGGATAGGGGGGAAAGCATAAACAGAGATGGGCTCTTTAAATCACAGCCTGCTTGCTAATATAAACATTCACGCTGTCTGATTTATATTCAGTTTTTTTCCTCTACTAGGTATGGTCTTTTAGGGTTACTATGTGAAGTTCTGTTACGTTTTGCATTGCCTTCAGATATATTTTGGTTTCTTCTCTTTTTATTTTGGACAGTCTCACCTCCAGTCTATTATGGCGGGAAGGTGCTATTTATCAGGGGGAAGAATACACTTGGTTAATGAACCATTTACTAACACAGATGAGAATGATAATTCATTTTCTAAAAAATTAGAAGGTGATACTTCTCTGTGCTTCGAGATTTACCACAGTCTTCATTTTAAATTTTGTTACTTCTTACTGTAAATAGTCTTTGTTGTGTTGTTTTATTAATTTTAAACTTTATTGATGGATTTTATCAATTAAAACTTTTGGAATAATTTGAATAGTGCTACCGAAAATTATTTTACAAGATAAGCAATTTTTTAAGTATATTTTCATGTAAAATAAAGAAAAAAAGGTTATTAAGTGCTAATTTTAACATATATAAGAGCTCAAGTAATAATCTAAAATGATACCAAAAATTACGATGCTAGAAGTGAAACTTTTTTTTTTCTGATTTTTTTTATAAAATTAATCTTAGTGATGTAAAACCCCTGTCCTGTACGATGACCGCCTTTGATTCCCTTCCATCCCGCACGAGCATCTTAAACAAAGGTGCACCGTTGCAAAAGGGTTACTGCAGTGAACTTTGAAGTAATTTGTTTATGGGAAGCTGCAATATTAATTAGTATATTTTCACCATCTTATTTTAGAACTGCACACTCATGCCAAGGAAAAGAAAATCTGGTGCCTAGTTTGGGAAAGAATGCCTGTCATAAGATCACCTGAATCCAAGTACTTGGTTCATCACTCTGATTTCAACGAGAGTACATATCCTGCATACTGTTCAGGTCCAGCCTATATTCTCAGTTCTGTTGCTTTGAAAGCCATTCTTAAACAATTCTATGAAACAGAAAAGGGAGAAACTAGTTTTCCTTTAGAAGATGTTTACATTACTGGTATACTTGCCAAAGCAAGTAGGCTCCTTCACGTGCAAATTGGAACCAGATATGCATTCAGTTCTCTCAACGAGAAAGATGTCACATCTGGAAAAACCATTTTTGCTCACTTAGGTTCAACTGCTGCAGAGTCTATCAAATACTTTTGGAATGTTCTAATGTCAAAGAAAACTGATGTACTTAAAAAGCACACGACTGCCTTAACTTAATAAAGTTATTTTATGCTTTTCTATTTTATTCAATGATAAAATTATATGCAGAAAATTACAATTTTATGAGTTATAGTTGCTATATAAATGATAAATAAAAACAGTGCTGGATCCAAATTCAAACAGGTTTCAAAATACATTTCACTGAGCTAGAATGATATTAAAGGATAGAAATGCAATATTTTTTACACAAGTTTACCACCACGAACGGGCTGGCTGCATGGGTGTTTTCGTGGGTTTTCCCCACGTGTAACGTGTATACGAGCCAGTTTCCCTTAGAAAGTCCTCCACAAAGGCATCCCTCCCCTTAGGCAGATAGCCCTCATGTGCTTTGCCATAATTAAACACCAAACACCAAGTTTACCACATTACAAGATTTTGGGCATATCTGAAAAGAAGTACTTATTTTCAATAACTAATATTCTTATTTTACATCAAATGAATTTATGTTGAATACATGAAACATGATGCTAACACATAAAATTTTGAAAGCTTAATTGTTTCTGATACATGATGAAACTTAAGTTTCAGAAGAAAGTGTTATAAATGAAAACCATAGTAGCAACTGAAATTTATCATGTCAACAAATAGACCAACTTCAAAAAGGCTCTGTTCATAATTCTTTAAATTTTCATAAAAATGTTACTTCTTTCTACAAATAAATATTAAAAATATTTACAGGATACTAAAAAGTGTTGTACCTTACATATTTTACAATACCATTGTACAAAGCAGTTAAAGTTGTGTATAAAAATATTAAAATCTCCTAAACTGCTTTTTAAATTTTTCAAAATGAAAATCATCAGTGGCTTTTTCTTCATCTTCAGGCTTTGATTTGTTTAATTTGGGGCCTGCAATAAAGGAACAGAAAAAAGTTATTATATTAAATAACTGAAATACTGAAAAAATACCATGAGCTCATAGTCTTATTGCTCAAGCAGGATAAGAAACAAAAATAATAAAATTAGCAACGTCACACAGGAAATAATATAACAAAAACCCCACTAATGTTTTCAAAGCTTCTGTAAGCACCTTTATACAAATCATCCACTGAACTAGAAAAAGAGAAACCTCCATTAAGTTGCCTCAGCAAAATGTTCTCCCCATAGCAGCTGTTAGTTAAGCATCAACATAATTAGTTTGCTAATTAAGAATTTGTCAGGAATGGTTCTTCCTATTAATGATTTAGCCATTTGTCACTGAGAATGTTACCCAGAATGCATCATGGAATGACAAAATTATAACCACAGTAAGGGAAACTCCATCTCACTTTTAAAGGCGATGGATCCGAGGGTCTCTTACCCTCTCCTCCCTAAGCATCAACTTCTCAAGAGGACTTTTGGCTTTGTTATGAATTTGGTATTTAAAAAGCTAATATTAGTTAAATTATAAATTAAATGGTTTTATTTCCCGCGCAGTGCAGCGCGTGACGAATATTAAAAGAAAGCTAAGCCGGAAAATTGAAAATACAAGAGTACGTGCATTAAACATTTAATAAATATCTCTTTTTGATTTCGAGAAAGTACTAGAAAATTCTCGCACGCGATTTAAAAATCTTATAAAAGGAGGAAAACCTTTCAGTTCGTTAGTTAGTTGCTTAGTTTGTTGTTGTTTAGAAAACTGCTCTTGTTAACTGTAGCGGATTAGCTTTCTCTAGCTGTTTTGAATTAAGTTCTTTTGAACGTTTGAGTAGTTAGAAGATAACTACTGTGAGATATTGTAAAACTGAAAGAATATCTGAGGGAATTTAAACATTTTGTAATAATAATAAATTTTTTTGTTCATTTTTTTTATCGGACTTGAGCATTCAATTCGTAAGGAACCCGTATGCACGCAACAGCTTGATGAATATTTTAAGTGTTCTTATGTTGCAAAAACACCGGGTGAAGATTGTGGAAGCTAATTCCTTTACCACTGTGCCAACAAGGAAGCATTTTTCTAGCCTAAAAGGCTGGCTTCACTTTTAGACAAATTAGTTTCTTATTTGGAGGCACGGAAAGCAATTTTCAATCATATATTCATGCAAGAATTTTTATGCCAAAGAACACTAATACATACCTACAACTTTATGAAGTTTGCTTTTTACAGGCTAGAAATTGATTCTGATAAGGATATGGGCACTATCTTATGAAGGCTTCTTTTTGAACAATGGATGACTTGTACAACAATGCTGCCATTTTTATGACGGGGCACCACAATGAGGAAGTCTCTTTCAAATTACATGGACGTATTCAACTGACTTGATTAATTAATAATGTGAATATATCCTTTCATGCAATGATTTCAAACTCGTGGCCCACAAAAGCATATTTACGTGGATTTTGAATACATTCCAATTATGTATTTGTTGTAAATATAGTGTTTATAGTTTTACACACAGTGATTTGGATTGATCTTAAGAGCATGATTGATGTTTAATGGGAAATCCACATAGTTGGCCAGCTGATAGTTGATTGTGGTTTAATATTCTGGTGTTTCTTTATTTTCTATAGAGTTGGTGCTTCTATATATAGTTTTTTTCAGTCAGTTACTACTTGTTAAATTGATTGCAAGGCTGTGCAGTTTATATTGCTATACATTAGACAAACTAATGTATGACTTATAAATCTTGTTTATTTATGATTTTTATTAGACCTACCTTATATGAATACTTAAACTTGGATAGTGCCTGACTTTTGAATGAATTAAAAATGTAGCTAAAAGAATACCTTTCAGGCATCAATCTTTGTATTTTAGATAGAAAATAAATATAAATTTGAATTTTTCCTTTGTGTTGTTATGATGAGTCTTGTTTATGTATTTTTTGATAAATATTTAGTAAAGTGAAATTTAAAATTTAGTTACTTTTTTATTTTGTTAAAGAACATTATTTATTTGCTACAGAATGTTCTTTATTACCGGAGTGAATTCAGCTGCTTTTAGATCGAGCATTTAGTCCATGTGCAACTGGTGTTTGATACCATGCTTTAATGTATACTGAAAAAACATTTAATAATACACATTATAAAATAAAGTATACATAAAGGAAAAATATACTGCTCTTATTACTTGTAAAGCAACTTGGGATTTTTAACAAAAAATCTATTCTTTTAACACGTTGAGCGCGGCACCGGTCCAACGAACTTTCCGTGTGGCCAGCGTCAGTCCCTTGGGACCAACACTGGAATTTTCGTTTAGCTGGCATCGGTCCACAGGACCGACAGTATTAAAGTTAAAAAATAAATATAGTCTCAATGAAATATGATCAAATTTAGTTTTAATGAAATGTATTGAAACATTCTAAACAAAAATACGACTCGCTGCCGGCTGAACGGAAAGGACAGCAAATTCGTCGCCGCGCTCAACGTGTTAAGTGTTGCATTTAAAAAGAAAATTTTGCTCAGATAATGTTAAAGCCTAAAAAGAAGTCCCAGTTAAATTTTTCACCAGGCCATAAAACATAAAAATATTCACTACCTTTATCTACCAAATGAAACAGCCAAATTTCAAATAATGCACTTTATTCCTCAGTATTAAAATCAAGAGGATTACTGAAGATTACATCATGTCTTAAAACTATTTTGTATTTAACAGAGTTCGTACACATTTCTGCACACGGAAATTAAGTACTTTTAAGGACCATTAATGAGAAAAAATTAAGGACCTATGAGCAAATGGGAACTGAGTAAATTCAATTAAAAATATTATATCTATGCCTGAACATGAGTAGGATGCATTATTATTAAACATAACTTAATTAACATAATTATTAATATGTTTCAGAAGAAAATTAATTTTATGAAATTTATCAAGTAGCATTAAATATTTTACACTTATAATAACTGGACATATTTGAAAGAAGATAATTGACATTTTAGTTACATTTTATTAACAGTTAGCTTTTTTTTTTTTTTTTTTTTTTTAAATGTCTCATTTTGTCACATACTTGCTCAGTCTAGAGGTTTAGTAAATAGCAAGTAGATTTTATGTCAAGCAGCATAGGTTAAAATGAGCATTAAAATTATAATCAGCATGATTCATAACAAAAGACTGGTTGTTGTCACTGCTCCTGCTTGCCTATAGAGAAACCTGCTGGATCAGAACAAACCTTCCATTCAGCCGGCAGCGAGCGATCAAGCGGTGCAATATTTCCGACTTAAATTATTCATAAATTATACAAAAGGAAGGAGACGCACATAAAGTTCGAAAGTATTGTTTGAAATGTTATGATGACAATTCAAAACTATTTGGATGCAAGATAGCCAAAAATGTTACCAAAATAGTTGTTTCGTATTGTAATATGTGTAAAGCTAAGCCATATTTTTTTAGAATGTTTCAATAAATTTCATTAAAACTACATTTGATCACATTTCATTGAGACTATACTTATTTTTTAACTTTAATACTGTCGCTCCCGCGGACCGACGCCAGCCAAATGATAATTCCAGTGCCGGTCCCCAGGGACTGACGCCCGGCTCAGCGTGTTAACGAAAGGCAATAACTTGCTTTAATACAGAGAGATAATTTTTAAGGGAATGTATTTCGTTATAATTAAGTTAGGTATTAGATAACCTTAGTCATTATGGATTTACATGTCCACTATTAAATTAAATTTATTTTTTAATAATATTTGTTAAAAAACCCTATTAATATCACAACCTCATAAAATTTCACAGTTTAAAATACATGCAATTTATGACATTGATTTTTAAACAATATTAAGATAATTACACATTAAAAGCTACAAGACATAAAACTCAACATAATAATTATGTGTCTTTTTAATTTGAAGGCCTGCCCAGACATTTTGGACAACTGCATTAGCTTTTCATGATTTGTCCCATGTATAATGTGAACATATGTCAGTTCTGCTGAGAAAGTTCTCCATGCCTCTTACACAGATAATTATTCTAATGTATCCAACATAAATCTGAACTAGAAATTATCCACTGCAAATACCCAATAATATAGCATTTATCTAATAGCCTGAATGCAGGTCCTGGGTTAAAACCTCAGCTCTTTATGCTGAACAACCAATTAATATTAGAACCAATAAAGATGTAGAAATCATCACACTTGATTCTATAAATATGCATTGGCATTCTATAAATATGCATATAAATATGCACAGGTGGGAAGTCTGTGGGCAAATATGGTTGGATTTGCAATTAATACATAATTCTAGTTAGATCAGTCGGTTTCAGAGCAAATTGTTTACAATCAATTTACTATGGATTACTGAATTTTTGGTTTCCTAAAGATGTAATTAAAAAGTTTATTTAAAATTTTTGTTCAGTAATATAAAATACAAAATTTTAATTGCAATACACAGAGACATTTTTGTTATAAATTTCATTTTAAGCAATTATGAGATAATAATGGATTTTTACTATTATTATCAATGTTTTAATGTATTTACAACTCGATGAGCAAAACACATTTCAATGAAATTTTAGCATGAATGATTAGGTAGTAACTTCATCGATATAAAAAGGACAAAATTTGCAATTGTAATCATTCTATTTTGCAAAAATTCATGACAGTTCTCATGATAACATTATTAGTTTTTGGTTTTGGTTTATTTAATTATCGCAAAGAACACTAGGGCTATCTGCCTAAGGGGAGGGATGCCTTCGTGGAGGACTTTCTAAGGGAAACTGGTTCGTATACACATTACACATGGAGGAAAACCATGAAAACGCCCATGCAGCTAGCCCGTTCGCGGGATTCGATAAAATTATTAACCTAGTGATCATTCATTTATGTTTCAAATAGAACAGAAACACAACAATATAAAATTTTAAATTGGGAGTGAGGGGGGAAACTTAGTTTGGAACAAAATGACTTTTATGAATGAAAACTTTATTAATTGAGCTCCCCCATTCATAATTTATACCAAATTAGCACTGCTATTTTGCCTAATTTTACATTTATATTTCTTAAATAAATTTTATAGAAAATGATTTTCACTTCATTTAAAGAATGGGGAGAAGAGTATTGACAGAGATAGCCTAGGTGAAATAGTGAAACATTTTATGGGAAATTACATGAATATGCATCTAAACTAATATGGGGCTGTTATATTTAAAAATTGAAAAAAATATGTAATTCTATAAAAACATTAAATTTTTAAAAAAATTATATATAACAGGAATTAAAAGCATTTTTATTTATATTAATCAGATTAAGAAGTAAAAAATAATATTCTTAAGAACTGCATATATTGCTTTTAAATAGTTTAGTTTTTTAAATTAATAACAGACAGATTAAATATGAGAGAATAATATCTTATATTTTTCCGAATGGCAATAAGAATGAAAAGTGAAACACTGCATTAACCTTTTGGCAGTCATCATGACAGACATCATGTGTTTTTATGAAGAATATATTGCTTACCTCAAAACCCTTGTAGGGTTAGATTGAAACATTTCAAAATTATGTTTCAAGACTAATAACCCTATTGATCTAAAAAAAGCACACAGCCAAATGTTTGTAGATGGACTCTAGTGCATTTGTTTTAAAAAATACACTAAACTCTTTTATGGCAATCGACTTGGAATACATAAAAGACAGCACAGATTTAAAATCTACACTTATCTTTGAGTGTCTGCTTTATTTACATATGCCTTAATCATTATGTATATATGCATGCAATGTCATATAAAACAACAATCCCACACAGAGAGATGGAAATGTATGCTTTAAAAATGACAAAGGGGGACCGGAACATATAACATCATTCAACATTAAAAAAAGTGCTTTTTTTCTCCCAGCTATTTAAAAATTTAAAACTTAGTTACATTACCCTGGAAAAATTATGCCTAAATACACATACCTGCTGAAGGAATGATTACTGGAGAAGTATGTTTGTCAGCAGGTGTAATTTCTTGTCTTATTTTCTTAACTTTTGGTTGATCTCCTTCTTCTATATTAACTATATTGGAAGACAAGAAAAATATACTAAGCTACTATTACAAGTTTCAGTTGCTAAAATCAACATCAGAAATACTGCAAAAAATTTTCTAATGTAACAAAAATCAGAAGATGGAGTATTTAATACTTTTCAAATGTTCTTTTGATAAAGCAATTTGAAAAATGTAATCTGAAACAAACACAGATTTAAATGCTAGATTTGTTTTCTAACTGCTTTATAGCATGTAATATCAATTTTATAAAAATTCTACTGCTATACTTTATTTACTTTACTTCATATTGATGTAAATATAACTTTTGTATTTTTTACATATTTGCATATCACATAACATTTTCCCATTTAATGAACAAATTTAGTATGGTGAACTTTATCAAAGAGGTCGTTCATTAAACATGGATTTAACTGCGATTTGATTGAAATTCTAAGCATTAATGACCAGTTCTATGGAAAGATAAAACAATCAAGAGTGTACTTACATCTGTTATGCTGAACAAAATTGACAGCCATATTAGTTGGAACAAAAGACATGCTTTTTTCTTTTTTAGTCATTCTTTCTCTTAAAACTTGTAATTTTGCTTCTTCTGTTGCCTCTATATTTCGAATTCTCTCCCTATAAAACAAGAGGGGGAAAAATTGCTTTTCAGTGTCAAACATCAGCCATTTCCATATCACATTTTCATGCATGGTACAAATTTAAAAATAATAGGAAATATTTCATAATAATAGCTAATTAGAAAATACTACTTTTTACACTTAATCTAAACTCAACTTTCAGGATCTTTATCACACATGAAATCTCTTGAGACTGATCAACATAAATGGCAGATTTTCACAAATTCATTTATAAGCATCATTCTGTATAGCTATCTAAATGACTATTTTTACAAATTATTTAAATAGTAACCTTTTTTTTTATACTTTTGGTAGCAGTATTATTTTTTAGCTGCTTATCAACTACAGAATAAAATTATGCTTTATATGATTCTTCTTCACATAATTTGAAGAAATCCAATGCAAATGGTCCATGCACTGAAAAGCACATCAGCATTGCGTATTTCTAATGTATGACGCTATATTTGTTTTTAAACATGACACATACAGTAAAGTCCCAGTCAACCGACCTTCGCTAATCTGACTTCGATGGAAAAATTAAAAATCCCAAATTATTCAGTGTACACCACTAAGCAGCATTTGCACTTGACTATTGATTTTATTAATGTAAGTCACTTGCTCATTTCGTTAACTTCGGTACCAAGTTGTTATATACTGATGAGCTGACATTTTCTTTCTTCTGTTCCTGTGACAATGTTCAATTTACAGTACTACATTTTTACCTTTGTATTTCCCTTATTTTCTGGTGCACGGCGATGGCTTAAAAGAGAAAAAGAATATATCTTTCCATCTGAAAGTTGAAGCAACAGTGTAGGACATGCATGAATGGCTTTATCAAGATGAGGAAAATATAGATGAAGACATTGTTAATAGGATGAGAAAAACAGAAAAGTTAATGAAGTAGTGAGGGCAGAAAGCAGGGGCAAAATTTCTCACAAAGCCCTGGAGATATTGTTGAAATATGTAGAGCAGCTTTATCAATGGAGTTTTACTTCTGAAGAGAGTGCACTATCTAGCTGGAAGAAAATGTCAAACATCTGGCAAACAAAACCCAATTACCAACTTTTTCATCAGCTTTGATTTTTTTGGTTCGTTGTGGAACATATAGTATAAACCTGTAGTCTGTTCAAGTTACTAGCATGCAATTTTTGAAATAATGAACATATTCTGCATGTTTCACCTGTTACTTTCCATGTCATGGCATGTTTAGGTTGTATAATTGGTACTCTACTGTTTCAGAATTTAAGTATGATTCCAAAAAGAATTTCTATAAGATTTCAAGTATCGCATTTCACAGTATTGGGGAAAAATTATATTTAACATTATTATCAAAATAATTCCTTATTAATTTTAATTTTGATACCAGTTAAGAAGTATTTCATATTTTTGCACTAGAGTTATCAAACAGCTTTAAATAAATAGCATTTTTAAACAGCATTTTTCATAACTTTGGATATATTGTGTTTAGATATGAATATTAATTCTATTAATATTAACGTTCTTTTTCATATATGTTTGAAAAATATTTTTCTTTCATTAAAAGTTATCATTCTAAATGTGGGAAATGGCTATGTAACTGTATGATGCAATTGTAACCCAGCATCTAGATGAACCTGCAGACAAGAACATAGACAATGACTGATTCAGATCTATAATGTTGTAATAATTTTTTTTTCTTATCATTTTTAATTCATGTAAATAAATTGCAGTTTAGTAATAACTCAATGTTTATTAGTGATGTTTTTCTATATTTGCTATCAGAATTGTAAAACTTCCTATCTATATATCAATGTTTCGATTTCTGTGAACTGTGTTTAGTGTAGCATTTCTATTATCAACAGTAATGGATTAGCAGTGTTCAACCATTTTTAAGAGGATTACAAGTGAGCCTTTAACTGTTATAACTTTCGCTTTAAATGTAAAATTCTTTAAAGTATAAAACATGGCTTCTGAAGAAAATTAAAAAAAACTAAAACAAAAATGAATTGTCAAAAGATCAAATACTACTAAATTAATTTCAAGATTGATGTAGCCTCAACAGAAGAAAATGTTACATGAGATATCTTAGAGAAACATCTAGAAGTTTTAATTGAAAAAAATGAATAAATTAAAATGCTTAGATAGTCAAATTGAACATTTAATCGATGTAAACTTAACTGAGGTGGAAGTAAGCACTATTACTGATTACCAAGAAAAACATATGTAATGGAAATCTTTCATCGCTAATAGAGTTAACAAGATTATAAAGTTTATACAGCCAAAAGCCTGGTTCTGTTGCCCAACAAAAGATAACCCAGCAGATATTCTGACATGTGGTGTTTGAACTGGCTTTTTTGTGAACAGCTCCAAATAATGGTCACGCTGTGACTTTCTAACATGTCCACAAATTCCTCAATAGGACTTTCAATTAAGCTTGCTGAAGAAGTTTATCGAAATTAACTTAAAAGGAACAATGAACTGCATAATGATTCTAACTTAGTATTAACTGCATATAGTGAGCTAAATGTTTTTAATAATATTCGTAATTTATCTGCTAATGATACTAAACTTATTCTATTGTAAGTTTCATTTAGAGGTTTATCCGTAATTATAAGAATCCCAAAGTAAAGAAGTTTTTTTTTCTTTTTTCGAACAGTGTTTTAAGTATGATTCCATAGTGGGCACTATTTTGTCTTTTTTCATCACTGGCCACTCCTAAGGCCATTTTATTGTGGAGGCACCTAGTAGGTGGTTACCGTTACATTCTATGAAAGGACGAACAGTTAGAACCATGCCTTCTCCAAGATTTGAACCCAGGCCCTTTGGTATCGTAGTCGGTTTCCCTAACCACTACGCCATTTAGGTGGCCAAAGTAATAAGTAAATAGATATTCCATATCTCTTTACTTAAGATAAAAAGACTTGAGGCATGGATTTTATTAGCGGGACAAAAACCGAGTTCAGAGAAGAAATAAAACAACTAAAACAGGGTGTGTTCATTCCAAAAGTAAACTAGCATCTCTGAATGTCTTTCTTAATAACATGGGACTAATTAGAGTGGGCAGATGATTATCTCATTTGGACCTACCTGCTAACAATTCACAGCCTATTGTTTTATTAGGTAAACACCATTTAACTATTATTATTTTGGATTATTTGCATTTGAAATATTTTCATTTAGGATCATAATCTCTGTTATATCCAGTATGACAAAGGTTCTGGTCACTTAATGACAGAAAGTATTGTAGAAAGTATTGTAGTCTACAGATATGTGACATGTTTTAAGAACACATCCGTAACAGTTCAACAGTTCATGGCTAAGTAGTCCAAAGAGCGCATTACATCATCTTATGCATTTAATTTTTGTGCAATGTATTTTGTGTGGATGCTTTTCTCTACATGAAATTCTACAGATCTGACAAAAGAAAGAAAATTTTTTAAGGAATTCTTTCTAAGTATAGCATGCTTAATTTAAATATGAGCAAAAGTCATAACATTAATTTTTTTTTAAATTCTCACATTTTAAGATTTTTTTGAATACTCACTTTCTAGGAATATTGTTACTCCTGATGCAAGACAAAAACATCTCATATTCTGATATGTTTTAGAAAACTACAATTCTTATAAAATTTGTCTTCTCATAACTGTTCCATATTTAAATGAAAAATACAAAGCCTCTAGCAAAATGTTCACCATTCAGACTAACATGTAATTGTATTATAATATTAACATAACTTAATGATGCTCCTATACTGAATTTTACAGTAACAATAACAAATACACGTGGAAATCATTTTACATTGAATCAAGCATAAGAACTTGGTGCTTCTTTCACAGTAGTAACAAATAGTGTTGTGACGATTGCTGCAAGTTACTATCATGATATTCATAACTGATGAGTAAAACAAAATAAAAATGAATCGTTTTTAAGGACTGTTTTTTTAAGAAAGAGTACTTTTAGAAAAGACATGTTTTCATTCCTGTCAATAAATGGTATGAACCTCACTTATGTATCCCAAAAATAAATGTGATTACATTTTTTTAACTTGTTTTCAACCTTCCACTTAAGATTCTTTAAAGAACCAGATTAGCTTACTGTATTCCAAGATCCACTTCTGGTATACCGGAAAGCATCTGATTAGACAACATTTCTTCAGATTTCTTAGTTGAAGACTTTCGTAAATGCTCAGGCACTTCAAACAGTACATCCTCAGCTTTCAGAGGTCTAGAGAGAGGGGGGAATAAAAAAATAAAAATCATATGAAAAAATACATTTCCTTAATGTCACATAATTATATTTTTCACTTTCATTGATATAAATTTATTTATAGCAGCTTAAATTATCCAACAATTAATCATTCTTTTGACACTTTTGTGTTATGTGTTTGTTTAACCATTGTAAAAGAAAAGCATCATACATAAATTTCATGGTGTTGCGGGGAAAAACACCTCCAAATGGAAAACAAAATGCAGGAAAAAAGAAAATTAGATAATGTAAGGAAATAAAACATGACAAAATTTGGCTAATATTTATTCCTTGTATACAACTTTTCATACTTATTTCTAAATGTAATTTCTGGTGGCATTCTTATGAATAATTTTTGAAACTGCAGTATTTTTTACATGCTGCACCATACAAATTTTATTATGTATTACATATAAATTCTACTACAAGTTGACGTTAAGCCATATGTAGTATTCCTTTAAGAAAAAAATATTTTACCTTGCAATAGACTATGCAAAAGTGATTACAAAATGCACCTATATATCAGTGAAAGCATTTGTGCTGCAAGTCATAGAAAGATTTTTATGCTGAAAACTGGTTCTATGATTCTTAGTTATCATTTCTAAAATTTCATTTTGGAATTTTATTTACTTTTTTAAAATGTCCGGGCCATTAAATAATACATAAAGCAGCTAAAAATAAGCAAAACAAATTTAACTGAAATTGTTACATTATCTAGGCAAAATATTAAAAATGACTTGTTTTCAGCCAGTAATTAACTTCAGCAATTACAGAAGTGATTCTCTTTCTTGGTGCCCACTATAACACCAAAATACCATTCTTTCTATTAAAAACAGAGAGACAAGGTAAATGATATTTATTCTGTTAGCTATCTACAGCTACTTCATTGGTCTTAATATTTACTTTACTATTTATTTATCGTTGGTCTTAATATTTTAAATCAGAGCCAGACAAGAGTGAATAATTAAAAAAGGGTGTCAAACTAGCTAAAATATTTCAAAATTCATTTCGAAAAAGAAATTATGATCATTAACTTAAAATTTCAGAATACATCAAAAAGTATAACAAAAAATTTGTATTATACACCATTCAGATAAATTAAAAGAATTAATAACATTAATTTCTTCTCAAAAGTGCTGATTTTTCACAGTACTGCTTTCAAATATTAAAATTATTTGGAACTAATACACTGAAATTTATTTATGCTTGTTTAGACTAACATTTTAAGATTTTTAGACTAAAGCTGCACAGAAAGCATCATGCTGGTAACATTAGTCATCCTTTACCATATCTCTTTTAATTTGTGAAATATAGCTGTTACTGCTTTTATATACTTCACAATAACAAGCTTAGTCCACTAAGTGAAAATGAATAGTCATGTGACTTAGACTTTCTTGCAGTTAGCTTAAAGCATAAAGAACCATGTTTCTTTGGAACAGCATTGTAAACAATAATGCTTGAAAATGAAATGTATCATACTATCAGTATTTGCATTTTTTTTTAATGTGCCATTGAAAGAGATGCATGGTTTAAAGTTTTACTTTGTTGTAGCTATATTTTATCTTGCACTCAAATTGCACAGTTGGTTTCACTTATGGTTATTTCTATAACACATACATTACTGGATGGATTAAGCTAACAGGCATATTACTATTCTTTGTAAAGTTTGGAAATAAATATACAAAACAGGACACAACATCTATTTTGTTGAACTTTTCTACTGTTTATAATGAAACAATGCAATGAATTATTTAGTATCAAAGAAATAAAGAGGAAAGCTTAAGATTTTGAATTTTTAAGACAAACTGATTTGGCTAACTTTCATATAACTGGTGCTGATACAAAAGCACACATTTTATATTATGCTGAATGTAAGATAACTGATATAAAAATATACTTATAGATTCCTGATGAAGAACGTTTACGAATTACAGTTTCAGAAGGAGAAACAAATGAATGCAATAAAGCTGTTGATTGGGAAAAAAAAAAAAAAAAAAAAAAAAAAAAAATATATATATATATATATATATATATATATATATTAAAGCATCAAAACAATCAGATCGATGTGATAAATTAACATATTGCTGCAAATAAAATTTAGTCAGAAACAAGTATTATATTCTCTCGATTTAATAAACTTTACCTGCCCCCCCAAGCTAGCTGATGAGACTGGTTAAAAATAAAGATAAAGCATGATGCATCATTAAATCTCACTAATTTTAAAACTGCACTTATATTGCAGGGATATGATGAGAATGGTGAACTGTAAAAATATTATTTCACAGTTGATCTATTGACCATATTTAAATTAGCATATATATTAGCAGCTGGCATATAAACTTCTGCTCAAGCTCAAATAAGCTTTTCTTGCAATAAAAATTCATCTGAATAACAAAAGGTGTACCACTGTTAAAGACTGGTTCATTGATTATTTAATTATTGTAAAGTATGTAACATTATGTGCAGCAGCAGTGATGTTTTCATAAAGGATATTCTAAGGGAAAATATCCAAAAACTATATACAGTCAAACCCTTCACCAAGAAACATTTTATGACAAGCAGCTCGTATTACCTGCTACTTGTAGAAAATGAATATTAAAGAAAAAACATAGAGCATAAAACTTAGTATTTAGTAACTGAGTGAAACTTTTAGATGTAGGAATATCTTTTAAAAAGAAATTTGTTATATTATTTATTGATTTAAAATTAAAGATGAAGAAAAGGAAAATGAAAAAGCTGTAAAATTAAAAAACTAAACAGAATTCTGAACCAACAATGGAAACACGTTTGGATAATTTTAAGAAAGTTAAAGGTTTCAATATTAAAATCATGTTTCATTTCCTTCAGAATTATGATCTATACAGGATTATTAGTATAAATCAAGACAAGACTTTTATGTATTCTGAGGCATTAATAAATCAATTAATGACAGCAATAATTGCAAACATCATATAACAAAAACATAGCTTGTATTAATTTACAGGATAATTTCTGTTATAGAATGACTTATATAAAATAATTTTCTACAAAAAGCTATATGGTCCTATTATTCATTCATATATTAAATGTATTAATCTCTTTTAACAGTGTTGTTTTTCAAAGTAAGCATTTTAAATAAAAACATTTTTTCGCATGGGCCATTCTATTTCATTCCTTGTTTATTACGGTAATTAACTAAGACACGTATTTCTTATGGTTAGAAAAATTTTACCACAGTTCATATAAGATAGTGATGTTTAATTTTTTCTGGAAAATAAAAAGCAAAATATTTTTCTTTCATTTTTGATTTGTGCACTGCATATTTCTATGAACAACTTCATCTAATTATTAGGTATGGACACAAAAAAAGAACTAACAGAAATTGGTGGAAATTTTAGCGATTTTATAGAAATAAAAGAGAAAACCAATAGATTGAAAATGAGATTGTTTATAAATTAGAAATGATAGTCCCAATATCCAAGTTTGAGGTCAAGGATATGATAATGAGCCAATAGGGTTGGATTGTACAAAGGCATGTCAGCTATTACTTGGCAAAGAAATGATCATGCTAAATATATTCATTGTTAGGCTCTACAAAAATGCCACTTATACAAAGTCAAGAATGTTAATACTTTTTTAAAACTATACAAAGAATTTTTTTTTGAGGGGGGAGGAGTATCTTGCCTGTTAATGGGATGAACTTAGGTACATTTTAAGACAACATTTAAAGGTCACATGTATAAACGATGGGCATCAAAAGCAAATGCTGTTCAAGGATGTGGATCTAGACCATTTTGTAGCATATCAATCAAAAACTGTCATGCATACTGATCTATGCAGAATTTGAGGCTGCAGTTAACAAAGTAAATATTACTTCACTATAAGTTATCTAGCCAAAAACTATAAATGCATATGAAGCCATATGTTCAACAGTGCGATTATATCTTTCCATAATATTTCTGAAAGTAATTGTGAGAAATCCAAACATTTAGCTTTAGAAATAAATACCTCAACATAATTTGAACAGAAGTGAAAAATAAAAGTTAGTAAATTAGACTATAAAAAGATAAAATAGATATATTATAAAAAGGTTAATAAATCAGATTGTCAAGAATCAATTGATAAGAAAACTAAATTTTTAGAAAATTATACTATCTACTTATAGTCAACTTTAAAGAAATGTTAAATGTTTTGATCTTACAACTCAAATGGAGCTATAAAATCTAAATGTAATATCTTTAAATTTTCAGTTTCCAACTGTGGAAAAATTAATGACAATGAATTTAGGTAACTTAAAAGTAGCAGCATATAACTTAAATATTCAAATGATATACATGCTGCAGAAATTCAACCAAAAAATATCTAGTTTTCAAAACCTCTCTATCTTCAATAATTGTGAGTACTAAAATAACTATAAGCTTATATTCTTTAAAAATAATTCATGAATATAGATTAGTTCAACTGTATTTGAATTTGGAAGCAGTTCTAAAAACACTTTTAACATTACCAATTACTATTGCTAGTGATGAAAGAAGCTTCAGAAAATTAAATATTAGTTCTTCATTAACTTTAAAAAATTTCGAACCTAATCATTTTCTGTAACAGAACATTAATTTGGTGACCAAGTAGACTTATATTGGTTTTATAATAAAAATATTGGTTTTTCCCTCAATCCACCCAAGTGGCTGGACATCTTTCATTCTATATAGTGGCACATATTTACCTCTCTACCTCAGGTGAAAAAATATACAAGCACAGCTTTGCTCTAAATGTAATCATTTTGAATTATAGCTCATTCATTGGTCTTAACATTTACTCTAAAAGTAATAATTCTTTATTTGATAGCAATAATTCTGTATTGAAAATTGTGTTCAAGCAATAGAAGCATCAGAAAGAAATTTTCTTTAAAAAAATTTAAATATGAAATATTAAGAACTAAATTAATAACATTACCCTTCACTAGTATTACTTTCTTCACTTTCATGAGCACTACTACTGTCTGCTAATTTTCTAAAAGAGGAAGGTATTCAATAAATTAGTACTTGCTATCAAATAAACTTTACACTGTAAATAATTTTCCACACAACAAATATGGAAAGTTTAGATTTAATTAACTACAAAGTTTTGATGCACAATGTGCTTAGTCGTAACAGTACTATATTTTAAATTGTATTAACTTTGTTAACTCAGATTCGAAACAGAAATAATTTATAACTTAGCTCTCTGAGTTAGAGTAGAGAGAAGGGCACCCCTTGTATTATCACGGAGTTGTTGTTTCATTTATTGCCAAGAGCCTAGTTTGTGCAATTCTGTGATTTTTTTTCAAGTGAAAATAGGTCAATGTGTACATGGATAAAGTCAAAGGAGTGCGCAATGCCAAGTTTGCGCAACTCTTTGATGTTTTTTTTAAGTGAAAATAGGTTGATGTGTACATGGATACCAAGTTTGTGCAATTTTCATTCATAGAAATAAAATTTCTTGGATTGAAAATTGACCAAAAGTGGCAAAGGTCAAACATCTCAAGAACTTTCCTAGATATACAAGTATGCATCAAAAATCAACGTTACACAAGCTAAAATAACAAGTCAAAGAACTGCATAAATTCAGTACCCCTATACCGCCAAAAATCACCAATTTTCGCCAAGGTGTACCCATTAAATATATTTTTACCACTCTCTCTTACAATATTTTACAAAGCAGTGAATTAAGAAAATTAAAAATGAAAATTAACGTATGTAAATTATTCTAATTTTTATTCATTTATATATATATTTTACATTTTTAACATTAAATACACATAAAAAATAACACACAATGCTTTATAGGAAAACAAGGTAATGGAAATTCATTAGGAAAGAAATTTTATCACAAATATTTAACAACAAATGAGAATTCCTTCTCCTCTGTAGAAATATCTGGCATAAAATTTCCTTAATGCAATATTTAAATATATGAAATTGACTGCAAAATATAATTGTGTGAAAAGCAATATGATATAGGCTGCATTCTGCAAACATAAATACACTATTTTTCTTTTTAATACTTTCAAATATAGAATTCAATAAATGTTAATCATATCAAAGGGCAAATAAGCACATACTTAAATTAAAAGTTTATATAATCTTTAAGTATTTATCATGCAAAAAGATATGATTTTTAAATCTGGTCTTTTATATTTACTTCCATGAAAATAGTTTATAACTGACAACTGCAAATAATTACTTAGAAACAGCATGCAAAACATCAAAGCAACAAGACTATTTTTCTTGCTCATAATTATAAAAATGCGCAAAACCTGAAGTTATACAATAAATATTTAGAACATTTTGTTCAAAAATACTAATCTATACTAAGAATACACATTTAGTTAAAGAATTTAATTAAAAAGAATGGAAATTGAAACTTACAGAGCTTCTTTTTTTGCTAGTGGAATACTGGATGTCCCTTTCCTTTTGATAAGCTCTTCTTCAATATATTTCATCCTGAAATAGAGAAACAAATATTAAAAAAATAAATAAATAAAATAAAATCTGAAAGCCTTCAGATTTTACATTACGCCCAAAGGTAAAGTGACCACATTTTCATTCAGACAAAGCGGGGCAAATGGAATGAAACGTGAATTATAATTTAGTTATGAAAGCAGACCAATAATTCCAAAAAAAAATATTTTATTATATACATTCATATACTTGTCTATAAATATACAAAAATATATTTATTATTAACTATTGGTAACTATAAAAATATTTGTAAAAAACAATAATTTGAATATTATGTTTTTTAATTAATTTAATATTTTATTAAAAAAACTATGATTTTCTTTCACGGTCATATTTTTTATCTGAGTGAATACTTTGCAATAGATTCGGATCATTTATAAAAATTTCTCATATGAATTGGTCAAATTAGATTTTAGGCTTAATACAGATTTTAAAGTTTTAATGTTCAAATGCATTTTTTTCAATGGTCCATATTTTATTGATACCAGAAAAAACACGTTCTGTTGCTGCATTTGTTCCTGGAAGGAAGAGCGCGTGCTCTACAATTTTCAAAATATTTTCATGAGGAATATTATTCTATTTAAAATGAAGGAATAACTCTGTCCATTTTTTGTCTGTTTCCACATTTGCAGACAACTAACACTTAGATTTTTCATCAGTAATGTATCTTTTCACCAATAACATCTCATCAAAAAGATCATTTTCACAAATATTATTTTTTGGAAAATGGTTACAAATATATTAAAAAGATTTTTCCATATATTCCCATAAAATCTCCTTTTTTAATGTCACCCAATGAAAGTTTTTAATATTCTCGAGTTGAACTGTCCATTCTTCAAGATATTCCAAGCAGTTATTATAAAAATTTCTGATATTTTTCAGAAAATCAGGTTGTTTCATGGCACCTTGTTCTTCCAACTTAGTGATGCCCTTTCGAATAACTAAAGGAACGTAATTGATATCAATTCTTTCTCGCAATTTTGTTTTTAAATTATTGATTTCATTTGACACTTCCATAATCGAAATTTTGTCCCCTTCAATAATTTTCACAGCATTGTGAAATATTGTAGCTTAATTGTGGATGAACTGAAGCTAAATTTGTGATGTGTCATTTTCAAAAAGAGCTGCAATATTCTTGGACATTTATCTTGTGATAAAAAGCATGATTTTAATGGTTTGCATATTTTAAAAATATATTTTACAGCTGGAAAAGAGCTAGCCATCGTGTTTTGCTGTAACGAATAATTCTTTAATATTTGAATTCTGCGATTTTACAAAAATCCTTCAAACTTTCAACACGCACAGTATATTGTTATGGATTTGGTATTTAATTAGCTAATTAATGTTAGTAGAATTATAAATAAAATTGTTTTATTCCCTGTGCAGTGCAGCACATGATGAATATTAAAAGAAAGCTAGGCCGGAAAATTAAAAATACAAGAGCACGTGCATTTCATATTTAATAAATAAATATCTCTTATTGATTTCGAGAAAATACCAGAAAATTCTTGCGCATTTAAAAAGCTTATATAAGCGGCATGAAAACCTCCCAATTTGTTAGTTAGTTTGTTGTTGTTTTAAGAGTTTATTTAGAAAACAGCTCTTGATGACTGCAGCGAATTTGCAGATTAGCTTTCTTTAGCTGTTTTGAATTAAGTTCTCTTGAACGTTTGAGTAGTTAAAAGATAACTACTGTGAGATATTGCAACACTGCACGAATATCTGAGGAAATTTAAGCATATTTCTTGTGATAATAATAAATTTTGTTCATTTTTCATCGGACTTGTGCATTCATTTTGTTACGAACCCGTACACACGCAACTATATAAATAAAAATACGAATACATTTTTCGAATAATATTTTCAACATCCACTGGAAGCAAGTCAGATGCTGTTTAAATAGTAATGTGTAGAAAGTGCGCTGCACAACCTACTCGAATAATTTTTTGGTTCAAATGTTAAGTTTCGTAAAAACGTTATTTATGCCTCTTCTAGCTTTTCCACTAAAACTTGCATTACTGTAATCCTCAGAATAGGCAATAATTTTATTGTTCAAATTACGCTTTTTTAAAATAGTACTTATTGGATCAAAAATTATTTATGAAGTTTTCACCTGGCAATGAAACAATATCTAATACTCTAATTTTAATTTCTGTTTCTGGATCAAAAAGTCTAACAATTGTCAGAAATAATTTTATATCTTTGTGGTTGGAAGCATCATAATATATGGATATAAATGTGCACTTAATCTAATTCTTACTGCAATTGTGAAAACGAATATGGTGGAAAAACATTACAAATAATTGCTTTGGTTTTTGTCCTTGCACATGCAAATTTTTTATCGTACAATGTTTTGATCATTTGCGACGTACAATCAATTGATCTGAAACTTTTATTGTGGTTTATGATGAAATAGCCCTTCAGCTAATTGCTAACTGTTCCTTCGTTAACAATACATATTCCTTGAAGAGACGTAACGATAATGATTGAACAGCACCGAGTAAATCTAACTCGTTACATCATCTAATTTAGTTTACTCTGCATGCATTTTATGTGTTTTTTTTTATTTCTTTATATTCACTATAATAATTAATAAATAATAGGTAATATATTTTTTAAATACATTTAAAATAGAAATGCAGATGTTTTCTAAAAAGCGGGACATTTTTGAAAATTGGCAGAATGCGGGAGTCCTCCAAAAAGTGGGACTGTCCCACCAAAATTGAGACATGTGGTCACTTTACCCAAAGGGGTGTTTTTTTAATGTTTTGTATGTTACCTTTATTTATTAAATATCATGTTCTTTGCACTTAAACCATAAAATTCAGTTCAAGAGCAATATCAGAAAATAATTTTAAAATCAGCATATCTTTAGAATTTCCTATACACAATATTGCGAGCGGGGATAAATTTTTTTCTCCCTGTACAACATTGCCATTGCTCATTTTGAAATCCTTCAGTTTGTTAATCAAAAATTTGTTAAAAATCTTACAAAATATGAAATCTATAATAAAACAAATTCCAAATTTGAGCTTCCAGATGCCCGTAAATACATATTACAATTAGTAATTACCATACAATTAGGAGGATTACATTATTCAAAATCTGATGGTTTTAGGTATCGTTGTTTTATCCCAAAGTGAGAAACATACATACATTTATGCATATTCTCCATTATTTAATTTCTTTAAATATGACACAGGACAATAATATTTGGGGGCAAAAATTTGAAAAGTGAAACAAAGCAAAATGCCAAAAACAAAATTAATAGTCCTTAATTGTCCAAAATCAACAATTTTTCTATTAGTTATGAAGTTACGTTATAAACATAATTTTATTACTAAGTTTCAATACTATGGCACACATACAAATTTAGATTTTAGACATACTTTTAATGCTATAACTTTGACTTAATGACTTTTGACTTTAAAAATGGATCGCTTTTGTTGAAAAATATATCTATTTAACCCTCCAGCAAACGTAGTTGCTTGTGAACAAATTAAATGATGTAAAAATTTTACAGTTATTTTGTCACACATGAAAAAGTTTTTTGCCAAAAAACGTTCTTAATACAGTTAGGGGAAAAAAAAAAAGATATGAAAGCAGTACCTTCTGCCAATGCTTTGGTAGTTTTTCAAAACATACGACCCAAAAAATAGGTATGTCATTTTAGGAAAAAGTCCGTAGCGTAGGTAGGTATTTCCTAAAAGTGTCATTTTAGGAAATACCTACGTTCGAATGTTATATATAAATATAATATATGATCCATGTTGGGCCTCCTAGACGTGAAAAATGCAAGTTAAATTTCTTCAGTCGATCCAGTATAATGAGAGGTACAGAACTGTCCCTTTTTTGTTTTCTTTCTTTCATTTTTTTCCTTTGAGCAAGGTATACATTACAGGCTACACATTACATTATTTTGTCAGCTATACATTACTTTACAAGGTATACATTACATTACCTTGTGAAAGTTGCCATTGCATTTAGTCACCAAAACAGTCAAACTTATCCAATTTGTAATGCACAAATTTTAATTGCTTCTAAAGGCTTATTGGTATCTGTTTAACAAAGAAGTACTCATTAGAGATATATACCAAAGAGATGGAAAGCCTTTGTGGAAAATAATATAAGGAAAACTGGCCTATATTTATATTACACGTGAAAAAATAATGAAAAATTCCATTCATCCATTAGGAACAAAACTTGGAAAATATTATTAATGATTCCCTAGGTCATTCTTGATCTAATTATAGGAAAATTTTGCTTAACATGATTAATCAACTCATTGACTAATGTATGCTAACTGTATTAAGCAAATATAGTAAACAATAGGAAAAATTATAATTCATTAACTTCATTTCCTTTTAAAACATTTCTGTTAATAATCTTGATCAATGACAACTATAGATGCTGGAAATAAATCAAAGTTTTTTTTGAGGTTAGATATGAAACTCACATTTTTATATACTTACCACTTTTAAAATATACTTACATATCTGCATCTTCATCTCTTCGGTTTGTTTCTGCTGAAAATACACTACCTAAATTTACAGCATCCAGTTCTTCAACGCCAGTTCTGAAATACGAAAATCATCTAAATTTGTAAACAAACTATGAAGAAGATACATAAAGAATTCTAGAGTTAATATATTGTAATATGCTTAAATATCATCATTATTAATTCTTACAAGTTTAAACAGAAAAACAATGATTAACATAATTACCTTCAGCATTAACATAACCACCTTAGTGAAAGTCACCAAATTCTTAAAATGCAACAAACTCTGGGAATCGCACAGAAAATAATTCTTCCGTTTTAGCTAGCAACATCCCCTATATCATATGCTTTCTCTTTTGATGCATTCAAATGACTTTTATAGAAAAACCATGATTTTTTTCCCTTAAATTGAGTTTTAAAATATATGCTTGTGGGATTTATCTGCAGTGGAAGAAACTGTTGCAAAATTTCTGAACAAATACAAAATTTTGCCATACATTCATTTAAAGGAAACAATTATTTTTAATTCATTCTTAAAAGCAATCATCATGAATTTCTTACCAGAGCAGAAGAAACAAAAACAAAAACAGAAAAAAAAAAAAAAAATCTTCATGAATAAGTATATCAACTGATTTTTGAGGTAAATTAAAATGTAAAATATTGAATATAATACTAGGCACATTCATCATAATTAATTGATTGCAATTACAAGTCACAATTATTTTTCTTCTGCAAAGAAATCACCAAACTGGTTGCAGTAATACTTAAGTACTGTTTAAGACTGCTATTGTTTCCAAAAAATTACAGAGTATGTTTGTGTTATACTACCAACCAGCAGTGACATACGAAAGAAATTTTGATTTGGCACATTTTTAATAATGTTGCTATGGTAAATAATCTCTATGGTCTCCATATACATACTATGGAAAATACACATATCATTGATTATGATATTGTAACAACTGAGTCCATATCCAACAGAGTAACAAAGACAATTACACTTAATGGCAATGCTACATAACTGCTTCTAGCAGGATCTACTGATTAGAAAGAGGTGTCTAAGATGTAACAAATGAAAATTTGGCAAAACATTTCTCTAATTTGGTTTTAATTTCAACAACTGTGATGGTAATGAACACCCGGTACTTTTCTGTTTCGCCAGCGCAAATCTCGCCAAGTAGACTTTGTTGACGACAACACACAGTATATACATAAAAAATGTTAACAAATTTTAGTTCTAAGAATTTTTTTATTTTGAAGACATAAACATTTCAATATCGTATAAAATTTTGTAAAAAGACAGTAAATAAAGACAATAAATTTGTAAAAAGACATTAATTTAAGAATTTACTATGCTTTCATGGTACAACATCCTGATTCCCAGGTTCATATCAAGTGACGTGAAGTTATCTCATCTCACGTAAACTACACTACAAAAATCTAATTCTCTCAGTAATTATCTACACTAATTTCAAGTTAAATATTGATATGGAATACAAGTTTAAATGCAAGAATTATTTCAATTCGTATGAATAGCTTACTCAGAAATTATGTAAAACTGCAGTGCTTTACTTCACTAGTGCATTCTCATTAAAGCCGATGAATTGAACCCTTACCTTTGACTTTTCTATACTTTTGCCTTCGGGTAAGCTGTGTAATTGAATCCTAATAGATTTAATTACCATGAACGGCCATTAGGGCATAAAACTGAACTACCTGGTAAAGATTCTATGTAAATTGTATGCCAGTATTGAAAGAAACAATCAATCTGATGAGAAATGGCAGTGACTTGCTTTGAATGAGGCATAAAAGTTACCAACGAGGATATTCTGTTTGGCATTGGTTGTACCATTTTTGGCTACTTTATTGCCTGCACCGGTAAAATAGAAAAGTACCGAACAACCTCTTTGTCTAAATTGCAATAACGTTTTGGCTATTAAAATTAAAAAGGAATCTTGAACTCAAGAATCCTTAGTTCATAAATAAACAAAAATAATATTTTGAATGACTGTTAAAGATACTGTATTATCTGCTGCTATTAAAATGAGAAAAGTACTTCAAAGAAGTAAATATAGCAGTGACATTTGGAAAATTTCTTTGTCAAATGACGCTGCCGCCAATAGAATTTCCGAAATTAACACATTAATTTCAGTTACTTATTACTAGCCTTAAAAAAGCCTAAAATGGGTGAAATATTTTTAGAGAAAATAATGATGAATATTTGTTATCCTTTTGAAAAACATACAAGAGAGAAAGACATACACAGTAAAGATGAAGAATTCTTTTAAAATGAAAGTTAGAATATGTAAACCACATTACAGAAAGCTTAGATGATGCAAAAGCGATGATGAGCAAAAATGTTAGTTTAAATCCTTTGTGATCAAGTAACATTTATAAACTGCCTAATCTATCAAGTGCCTTTTACAGGAAAAAAGATTGTACTTACATACTATGATGCTTACCTATATATCTTGCCAAAATTGGCGACCCTTGTAGGTTATACAGGTGGTGTCCGCCGATAACATTGCGGCAAAAACATCGTGGACGAAAACGTCGCAGAGAAAACAACGCAAGGTGAAAACGTCGTGCTACAAAACATCGTGGGAGAAAACATCGCAAAGAGAAAACATCGTACTTCTAAAACATCGTCGTCGAAAATAAAGCGGTTCAAAAACATCGCAGTTTAAAAACATCGTCGTCGAAAATATCGTGGTAAAAAATAAAGTATCTACAAATTATCGCATGATGATAACACCGCAGACATGCTTTTTTCAGGTTTTAATAATTGTAAATGGATATTCCCATAATGATTTGTGAGTGCAAGGTGTAAAGAAGGATAAATTTTACTTTCACATATTTTATTAACTAATAAATTTTTGCTGAAAACGTAAGAAGGAAACTTAAGCATAGAAAATTAAATGTAACTTATAGATTATACTTTTTATGAAATATTACCAGTAAAAACTTTATAAAAATGATTTATTAATGGCCTTTGTTAGTTAACTATATGTCGGTTTAAAAATTCTATTAAGTGCTATAAGTTGCATTAATTTTTTATGCTTAAGTTTCCTTTTTATTTTCTCAGCAAAAATTTATTACTTAATAAAAAATATGAAAGTAAAAATTATCCTTCTTTCCATCTTGTGCTCACAAATAATTATGGGAATATCCATTTACACTTATTAAAGCATGCCTGAAAAAAGCATGTCTGCGATGTTATCGTCATGTGATGATTTGTAGATACTTTATTTTTTACCACGATATTTTCAACGACGATGTTTTGTACCACGATGTTTTAGAACTGCGATGTTTTGTAGCACGACGTTTTCGCCTTGTGTTGTTTTCTCCGCGACATTTTCGTCTGCGATGTTTTCGGTTGTAACTATACAGGTTATAGAAGGTGCTAAAATAAAGAGTATTATCCCGCACTTGTTATTACCACACCCTTTTTTTTGCTACATTTATGCAGATTATTTATGTTTAGGTTAAACACACGAAACTTTTTGTGGCTTTTTTTTTTTTTTTTTAATGGAAATCAACATCTTCCAACTTCCTTCAAATGAAGAAGAAGTGATAGAACTTTTCACAGAGGTTGGAATTTTACCCAAAGAACGCATTTGTAAAAATGGCCATGATATGAATTGTCAACAAAAGTTTGGAGTCCGAACTGGTACATGGTTTGAAAACAGTCATATTGAATTTTTAAAAGCTTTAAGAACAGCTTAAAGAAGCTTTTAGGCATATGAACAGTCGTCTATTAAATGGTACAAACATCAGTTGGATTTATCCGATACGACTGTTTTTGATTGGAATAATTATATGCATGAACTGTACGTGAAAGATTTGGAGGATAATTGAAATATTAAATTTGGAGTGCCCAGAATGATTGTCGAAACTGACGAAAGCCTTTTTACATGTCGAAAGAATAATCAAGGTCATATCTTGCCACAATAGTGGGTCTTTGGTGGAATTTGCCGGGAGACAAAAAGAAACATTTCTAAGAGTTCCAGATTGGATGGAAGGAAACAACATTAATGCATGAAATGCAAAATAATATTGCTGAAGGCTCAACAATAATGTCAGATTCGCAGCCTGGATATCAGACAGAGAAGCTCATTGCTGCCGGTTTTGAATATTTCAAGGTGAATCATCGATACAATTTTGTTGACCCATCTATGCAGATTCATACTCAACATGTTGAAAGGATGTGGGGTTCTGCAAGATGGAGGAACAAGTGACAATGCGGGACAAGCTGCCATTATTTGGATACTTATTTAGCTGAATTTATTTGATGGAAAAAACAAAAAATACCTTTTGATGCCGTTTTGAAAGCTATTTTGTTTATACTTGAAATAAAACCTAAAACTACTTGGTTTTGTACATATATTACTTACCAAAAAAATAAATTATTTATGGGAGAATATTTATATCTTTATTTTATATTTAATATCTGGGGACACACACACACACACACAAAGAAAAAAAAAAAAAAAAAAAAAACTCAATGTTATAAAGAGGTCATGAATTAAAAACAGTTCAAGAATCACTTCTGTAGACAGAGATACAGCAGCTTTAAATCAGGCCAATGTTACCTAACTTTAATTTTACAATATACTTTCAACATATGTTGGGATATGTTTTTCACAGCTTAAAGATATGGGCTATTCAAAGTAATAGCTTCCTTAACTCCCAGACAGTAGAATAAAAGCATGCTATTAAAATGCCTTTATTTTTATAATCTTTTATTAATATAATGAAAATAGAATGAACAGAAAAATGTGAGATACTCACTTTCCTTTTATTTTTAAAGCTTTCATATCAATGAAACCACCAGTTTTCATTTTAAAAGGGTCATGGTCCTATTGTGGAAAAAAATAATAATATCTTATTATCAAGTTCTAGATGCTCAAATCAAATAAATTTATATCTGAAAGCTTTTTTTGGAAAATAAATAAATAAATATAATAATAATAAAAAATAAATAAACAGAACACTAAGAATCTGATCCTTCTTTTTTTAATTTAAATTTTTTTTTTTTTTTTTTATTTAAGCTCAGCTGATCCAGACCTCACTATCATTACAGGAGAACAATATCTCTAACCCTCTGAAGCCCTATACATCTCATGTATATGAATGCTAACTGATGAGGTATGCTACCTATCTGAATGTTCACTGATGAGATATCTCTGCACAAAGCATTAAGTGAATAAAAAATAACTTTGAATACATGCAATACTGAATGGGGAAAAGGACAGAGAGAGGGGGGCCAATATGTAACAGAAAAAACAAAAAGGAATGCAAATACAAAATAAATAAATCTACTAGTTTTTTGAATTGAACAGACTTAACTCTGTAACATGCAAAAGTATTAAAATAATTATGGAATTGGAAAAAAAAATTCAGGTGCTTACATATTAGCATAAACTAACTTCACACAGTCTGACAAATGAAAAATGAAAGACTAATGATTTATTGTTATAAAAATTATTTATTGCATGCATACATATTTTATAATTTAACTATATGTTTATAAGTAAAAAAAAAAAAATAATAATCCTACTTGCAGGGTAGTTTTATTTCTTTTATTCTAGCGAAAATTTCATGGGATCATGTACTACATTCCTACAGAAATTTTATGTGCTTCTTCTATTAAAAGCAAATCCCACAAAGCTAAATTTTACAATCAAATTTAAGAAAAAAAAATAATTCATAATTTAAAAAAAAATAAAAGCCAGTAGAGTTTGGAAAACAAGAACACATATAAAAATAGCGAAGCTCAATGTAAAAAAATTGAAGAATTCTTACATATGTGGTTATCAGAGCTTGACACATTCTGAAGCTTTGGTGATTTCTACAAAGGTAGTTTAATACATAAATATCAAATTGCATTTATATGCACATAATGCAAATTATTATTGATTATAATTGAGAGGGGAGAAGCTAAACACTTCCTTCTATAAATCTGATTACAGGATCAATGACTTATATTAAATTTATGATTTGTTTCAATCTCCCAATTTTCAAATTCTTTATAAAATAGAAACAGAAATCTTCATTCACCAAAAAGAATATATATTCATGTATGATATTTCTATTAAGATAACAATGAATTTATGGACAGTTTTATTTAAATTTTAATACATACTGAGATAAGCTCCTCTTGAGTTGACAACTTCTTTCCTAATGCTAGCCCAATTGCACTAAAGAGAAAAACAAAGAAAATGTTCACACTGATTAAATAAAAATACATTTGTATATAAATTATCATAATTAAAATTTTAATTTTCTAGACTTATTTTTATTAGCATTATAAAGTTTCTTTACATACCGAACAAAATATACAGTTATATCAAATTTAATATCTGTGGAATTCTTTATTTTAGCAAATACGGCAAATTCTCCTATTATGATCTCATTTGAAAGGTGACCATAATTTTCAACAGCATAAAAAAACATTGGCATTGAACATACATCTCTAATAGAAGCACCTTCCTAGAAAATCAAAGTTATATAGAATGGTTGCATTAGAAAGAGTTCACTTGTAGATTATAACTAAATTTCTGAAGAAACAGCTGAACAATTTCTCTTCAGATAACTTTGCTACAGTATTAATGTGAAATATTCAGCCATTGACAATATTAAATCTACTTGAGATTAGAAAAGCATTTACTACTTATTAGTGATATATCAGGAACTGAGGCATTGCTTCCTTGGTTGGGTATTATTACCGAAAATCCAAAAAGACAGCTAATATAAATAACTTAATATTTTAATTAACAATACAAGTATTTTTGTGTAGTGCTTAACAAATATTACCTAAAACAATCACAGCTTCCTTGCACAGAAGTACTATCACACTATGAAATTTTACAAAAGGACACATCTACTTATTATCAGTTACAACACTGATGTATCAGTAAAACCTTCTTAGAAAAAACTGCCAAATTCTGGTAATTATATTCATAACAATTCTTCAATTTTAGCGAGCAGTGTTGGCATTTTCATGTATGCTCTTGTTGTTGCTTTCCAAATTCCAACGGTTTATACAGTGATATTATTTTGTCTTAAATATAAAACATGCACTTATATTATTTGCCTACAATGAATGACACTATAATAAAACCAGCAGGAACACAATATTTTTCTGCACTTTCCCTAATGGGAACAATTGCTTTGGATTTGTTCTTAATGAGGATACTGCAAAATTTCCATCAAAATGAAAGCAGCAAAAATCCACCCAAGCTGGTTTATTGCTAGCTTTTTTGAATAAACAATTAAAATGATAAAATGCACATATAATGATAAAATGAAGTATGTATATATGTAATGAGCAATATTTTGCAGTTACAAACCATCATTCTTTTCCTTTTGTTAAACTGCAGCAAAGTAGTTGCATTAAGCTTTTATTATAAAGATTTATATATATATATAATTTATTTACTAGAGTAAAATTGATTATATTATATCCTAATATAAATTTAGTAAAATGTATCTAAATGAAGTAATCCAGAAGTATGAAATTTAATCCCAAAAAATAATATTTTTAAAGGAACTTGAATTTAAATCATGAAAATCAGAAATGCAAACTTTTAATATGAAAATTAATAAACTAAGTAATTATCGTGATCAATTGGAAATTGGTTGACTTTTCAAGGGGAACTAACCAGACTCCATTCAATTAACAATAATTAATAAATGTGAAGGTTTTCGCCTTTCACTCAAGTAAGAATGATGCCAAACTGGCATTAATATAGCCAAATTTAGTAAAAGTAATTTATTATATACTATTTGAGTAAAGTGTCTCCCGGCACCCACGACAAGATCACAAATCCAGGCTGGAAGAAATTATGGTCTGACTGTGTTGCAGACAGAGATTTTTAGATCTTTGGCATTGCTGAACATTTTGCTATGATATTATGCCTTTAGGCAAATCCATGGGCTTAAAAATCTGGAGCAAGAGTCAAGTGGTACTAAGAGATAAAGAAGGAAAAAAGAAAAAGATCATAACCCTAATGTTTTATGAAAGGGGATTCTATTCAGACATTAATATCCCATCCTTTTTTCTGTCTCATTACTTTTCACTTGCCTTTATACAGATATGATAAAATTAAATTTTCATCTGTTTAAAATTGTGCTTACCTTTTTTCTCTCACATTTAATGATTTTTAATGGATTTTTTTTTATGAACTTATGATAAAAGGTACTGCTGTAAATTTTAAATAAGTAATAATCTCTGGATCAGAAATGGATTAATCTATTTTATAATAATTCCAATGGGAAAAATTGTTAAAAATATTCTAGATCATGAACAGCTTTCAAAAGAGAAGTAAATCTATGAAATGAGGTTTCAGTATTCCTAAGAATAAAAAATATATTTGCCATTTTAAAATATTTTGAGTACCAACACACTGAATATCGGCATTATTGCTACTGATACATAGCCTACCTCCTCTACAAAATTTAATGTATTATGTACTCTAAGGATTAATTATTAATTTATATAAATATGTATTTTACCTGACACCATGAGGCCTCCTCCTTAATTTTCTCAGCTCCTTGGCATCTTCAAGTAATTCACTATATTCAGTAACAGTAAACAGGAAATTAATGGAAGAGGAATTATTGCATAAATAAAACATTATTATTTAAATATAACAACAAAACATCAGAATAAGATTATCTACTTCCAGAATCATTCAACTGCTGCTTTTTTAATGACTTTCTTTTTGCTCTACATAAATTTAATATGTTTCCTTAAAAAGTTTAAAAAAATAGATGTAGTAAATCATTTTAAATGTACATTTTTTTAAATATATATTTTTTGCATTGCTCCCTCCCAAAAATATATAAAAAATAATGTGTTTAAATTTTAAAAGTCATTAATCAGTTAATGATGTAAAATAAAAAATGCACATTAACTTAGTATCAATGCAATATTGGAATTTTTATATCTCATAAAAAGTATCTGATTATAGCATATCATCAATAAATATTGTAAAAATTGCATTTTGCATTTTTCTCAAATAATTATCATCTACCAAAAATTAAATTGCAAATAATATAAATACAGTTTGGTTTTTCAGAATGTTACCTCAAGACAGAATTTTCTTTAAGAGTTTTAGAATCATATCTAAAGCATAAATATTTTTTTAATGTACTTGATATGATTCCTCTACTAAAAATTTATAGTCTATACTAAAATTCCAGATTGGTGTATGAGAAGGAGCCCACCAGCAGCCAAGCTGTAAAATCGCCAAACACTTGTAATTTCGAGCTGGGTTGCATCCAGGCAAATGGGCTGGCATTTTCATGGTTCTTCCCATGTATAATGTGTATACGAGCTAGTTTCCCTTAGAAAGTCCTCCATGAAGGCATCCTTCCCCTTAGGCAGACAGTCCTGGTGCACTTTGCCATACTAAACTAAACTGAAATATGAGAAGGCTTTTTTTGTAGATGTCCTCAAGGATAAAAATATGAAAAATAATTTGAATTACTACTTTTCCCAAATAACTTAGAGAAAGCTAGTAAGAAAGCTGCATATATCAAGTGCAAGGAAGTTCATTTGTTAAAGGATATAAAGTGTTTTGTGCATCCAGATCGGAAAAGACAGTTGCTTTTTAATATAGCAATTTTATCATAATTTCATTACAGTAAATTAAGTAATTAAAGAAGTATATCTGCCTTTAAATAAAGATATATAATTGAGTGAAATTTTTATAAATTTCCTAGAAAAAATCATTTATGTTCTTAAAAAAAGCAATTTAAAATCTTTGCCATTATTCAGACTTTGAATTAATAAAAAATTCAATGAATTTTAATTTTACTGTCACTATAAGGTAATTTAAATTAAAATGGTAAATTGATATTCTATAAAATAATAGTAATATTATTTAATTTTAATTCATGATTTGTATAATCATAATGTTATATAAAATGCTGTACATGTCTTGTTGCATCATGCTACATAAAGACACAGGGAACCTTAGGCATAGGGAAATAGTATGCAAGTGTTCTCATTAATTATTTTTTTTTCCTGGGTGCCTTTTTCTCAGTATCCACACCCTCCCCAATTTTAAGATTAAATTATCTTGTACAGATACAATCTTTTCGTATCTGATATCAAAAACTTACACTTGATACTCATTTAAGTATTTTACAGTAATAATACTCATGGAAAACATTTATTTGTTCAGATAATTAAATCCAAATAAATCAAATGTTACATTTATTTAAATGTACCAAGATGATGATATTTATTATTATTATTATATTAATCTAGTGGTGGGTATTTGTCTTTCCAGAACTGGCCACTCCTAAGGCAAGAAGTGGAGATCATTTAATTGTGGAGGCACCTAATAGGAACCCTCCGTTGCCTTCTATGAAGGGACGGAAGTTACAACCATGGCTTCTCTGATGATAATGTAGTATACAACTGATAATTCAAATGACAATTCTGAATAAAATTTTAAGTATTAATGTTTTGAAAACAAATAACTTTAGAAAATTCACAAAGCCCACAATAAGTTAGCAACTTTTAAAAAGTACCTTTTTTGGTTGCTGATAAAAAACATAAGATAATTTGACATGAAATTGACAAAAGTAATTTCAAGATATTGCTGCAGTGAAATTTTTAGTTTATCTCATATCTTTGAGAACTAAAAACCTTTTTTTTTTTTTTTTTAAAGATTTTTAGTTCTGAGAGAAACAACATTTTGTCATGAAATTTTACAAAATTAAAATTAATAGCAATATTTGTTTTGAAATGCACTTAAAAGCATTTGCCCTTCATCAACGGCAACAATTCTCTGCTTATATTTAAAATTGGATATGTCTTTCGGACAATTATAAGTAAAATGTCAACTGTGCACCATAATCCAGAAATTTAGCGAGTCCATCTAAATCTAGTACTTCATATTTAGAAGTTACAGTAACAGAAATACACTTAACAGTTACATAAACTTCTTATAATATAAAATTTATACGGTAAAAATTGAACTAATGATTGAAAAATTCAAGAGAAAAACTATTACAATACAAATTTTCCAAGCAAAAGTATCAGAATTATTGAGATTAACATTACAAAATTGACATAAACTTTTAATTGATTCCTATATTACACTACTTGCGAAGATCCTTACTGTAAAAGATTAGGTTCAACCTAAGTAAGTTTTAAAACTCTGACCATAATTGCAAAAAATTTTAATGTAGTCAGTATGACTACTTCACGAAGAGCAATCATACAGAAATTGATAAGAAGTCTATATTTATACCTCATATCTTCTTCTTTTTCATCTTCGCTCTCAGAAGATGCCCTTTTTAATCGTAAACATTTATTTTTTCGTTTAGGACGAAACATTTTAACTTCGCTGGAAGAATCCATGTTTGTTTACAAGACAACGAAAGAAGTAGAAGTTGTTTTCAGGAAAAGGTTTGAAAGAACAGATAAGGTTTTGAGGTTCGCTGTAGTTGATCTTTATTATGTTTTTATATCTGAAATTACAATTTTAACATTAAATAATTGTTAAATTTCATGCAGGTTTTACTTCTTTAATTTTAATTAGCTGCCTTACTTCGATATTTTGCCTAGCTAAAGAATAGTATTAGCAGTATTACTACAAGGGGTGATCAAATGAAAAAATACGAAACGACACGGTGGGTACAAATGTAGACTTTATTCAAAATAAACACCATAGGCCTGAGCACAACGATCCCACTGATGAACAAACTGCAGGATTCCTTGTTCTCAGAATTCCTGTGGCCGTGACGAGACCCAGTCCTTCACAGCGTCCTTGAGTATGTCGTCCGAGTTAAAGCGCTCTCTTTCAGGTGTTTCTTCAGTAGACCAAACGCATGGAAATCGCAGGCGACATGTCCGGACTGTAGGGCGGATGATCCAACGTCTCCCACTTGAACTTGGCCATTTCCATGTGTGACTCTGGAGACGTGTGGACGCGCGTTATCATGGAGCGGAACCACACCCTCCGTGAACAGCCCCAGTCTTTTGTTCTTGATGGACCTGCGTAGTGTCTTACAGTACACATCGGAGCTAATGGTTTTTTTGTGCTCGAGGAATTCTACAAGTAGCGGACCTTGAATGTCGAAAAAGACGGTGAGTAACACATTGCTTGTTGATGGCACGGCTTTGAACATTTTAGGGGGAGGTGACGACGCATGCTTCCACTGCATGCTGTCCCGCTTTGTCTCTGGCTCATAGTGATGGCACCAGGTCTCATCACCTGTGACAATCCGCTCCATAAAAGCGGGGTCTTCCTGATACCGAAACAAATATTGCAGTACTAGTCCCATACGCAGTTCCTTTTGCTGGTCGGTGAGCTGCTTCGGAGCCCAAGCGGCACACACCTTCCGATATCGCAATCTGGCGTGAACAATTGTTCACACGGTTCCATAGCTGACATCCACCTTCACCGCCAACATTCGCATAGTGACACGTCGATCACTTCTCACTAGGTCGTCCACCTTGTCGATGAGATCGCTCGTGACGACAGTGTTTGCCTGGCTTGGTCTGGGGTCATCACCCACTCTGTCACGGCCTGCACGAAAACGGGCACTCCATTTTCTGACAGATTTGTGAGAGACACCTTTCTCCCTGTAAACTGTCACCATCCAGCGATTAATAGTTGCCGGTTTCTCACCTTCCGCTGTCAGAAATTGGATAACACCTCGCTGCTCCTCAGTCGAATTTTGCAACGCGAATGCCATCGTGTCCTCATACGGACTGCCGCATCATTTAGACGTCGCTTTTGATAAGAGCCTCTGCTCACTCATGCGCATGCGGGCGCCCGCGCATGCTCCGATCCCAGTCACACACTCCAATCGCATCCCGAGATGTCTCGCTACGTTCCCAAGTGACAGAATATGCAAATATTTAACTGCTACGTTTTACGTCGTTTCGTACCTTTTCATTTGATCACCCCTTGTAAGAACCTAAAAAATTCACCAGCGTCCCACCAAGGACGCCGAGAAAGAGTTTCCCAAATAAACTTAAGAGATTTTGTTCTTCTCTAATTTCATTTTCAGCGAAGTTTTTGAACATAATCCTATATTAGAAAAGTCAACAGAAAGTGCTAGCACAGAACCGGCTTTAGATTTGATAAGGTCCTAAGCTATTTGAGATATGGGGTCCTAGTGGGGGCTCTAGACGAAAATCCTGCACTGCACCATAAATTCAAAATGTAAGAAAATATTACCTATTCACCTTCAAAACAACAACTTGAGCTTCTTTTACTATTTGTCATACACTAGTCTTCGCGTCATTTGGGATGGCTTAAATTAATTAAAGCGTTCAATTTCTTGATGAGAGAGAGAGCTAAGGTTAGAAGTAAATCTAACAAATAATTCTTTTATAGCTTGATGGGGATCTATTTCTGATAAAAAAAAATCTCATGCTTCTTTGCTCAAAATATAACATCATGACGAATCGTGAAAAAATAATTTCATTTCACCACACCACAAAATACGTTGCCCTGGATGTCCCAGCTTCATATAGTTTTTCTATGGATTATGCAATGAATCCTTTTGTTGGCCAAGTTCAATAAGTGCAAATTCCATAGTTGTGATTTAATTGTTTACAAACGTTTAGAACAGAAGTATAGCTCATTTCACTTGGAGAAAAAATTCTTATCTGTACGGAAAACAAATATTGCATTTACCTCTACAGGCAATCTAAATGATGATACAGAGATAATTTTGAAACGACATAAACATCACTCCAGTTCTTAACAAGGATGAGAACTTTTGATCGCTATAAGCTTAAAAGCACCTTCAAGTTTACTCCCTCAAAGAGTACAAGTAAAATCAAGAATATAATAAGTTTAACAATTGGATGATAGAGTATGACCAGTGCTAAGAAAATTGCCTGCCAGTGCAATCTCTGTGAACCCTAAATTCTGCTGCCCGGCATCTCCCTAAATTCTAAACTGTTTGTCACCCTATATTCTGTTAACCAGTGCCTTTTCTAAATTCTACAAATTTTGGTTTTCCTAAATTTTTTAGGATGTCACGTCTCTAATTTCTCAAAATTTGTTTCCCGGTGCGACCGTGCCGGTTGCACCAGACCTTGTCGGTTGGACTCTGACTATAAGAACAACACCTTATCACCGGAACTGGATTAACCATTAGACAAAATAAGCATGCACTAAAGCGACAAGCAGAGCGGGTACCTCGAAAGGTGCTTAAGTACTCAAGAAAGGAGGGCACCACAAAAACTCCCTATTGCTCGAACCGTGGAATGTATGGTGCAGCTAAATTAAGATAGAGGAAAAGATTGTATCCATCCTAAAAGTATTATTGTTTTGAATGGTATATAAACGTCCTTCATGGAGTTCTCAGAAATTTGCTGTTGGCGAAACATTAAATCTTTCATTTATTTTTAAAATTTAATCAATCTGCAATTCGTAGTTTCAAAGACATTGCAGCATTGTCTTTGAAGCTATTCGTAAAGCAATCGTTATGAAATTTCTGTCTTAGCAAAATGAAGAAATTATCCGCTTGTAAGTAGGTTTATTAATTGATATCTAATTCAAAAGCAAAATGTACGTATATGTAATAATTAAGTACTTTTTTTCAATTAAGAGTACGTAAGTACCTTTTTTCGTTTCGTATTTATTTCGCACTTATTACTGCCCACTTATTTCGTACTTTTTACTGCCTTTTTATTTTCTATTTCGTATTTATTTTATACTTATTTCGTACTCATTACTGCTTACTTATTTTGTATTTATTACTACGCACTTATTTCTTTTTATGTTTTTATAGTTTCTCTTTCTTTTCTTTTGAGTATAATAGTTTCAGAACCATTTTACGTCTTCATACTTCAGGACAATTTATATCCTTACGATTTTTTTTAAAAAATAATCCTTTGATGTATATCTTTGGAATTTTCTATATAATAAAATCCACAATATTATGCAATTGCTTCTCGTTATTATGATGACCTTCTTCTTTGAATGAAATACTGTCTAAAATTTCAGTAGCTACTACAGAAAATATACATAAGTGGCTTTGAATATATAAGTGAACTATTTACTAATTTTAGAGACATTGTTGTAAGTTAACGAACAAAACGTATTTACATTAAAGTTAAGCCTTTTTCTTTATTTACTCCGATTTCGGTTGCGTAAAAAAAGGAACGTACGTTTCATTTTTAATTTTGTAAGTATACTAAAACAAAATAAACACTTCTACATAATCCGAACATTGAACTACAACTTATTACTTCACTTGCTCTTCTTACTTGTAATTTTAAGAGCAGCTTCCGTTTCTTTACTTTTTCATTTTTTGCATTTTACTATTTGATACTAATTTATTGTAAAGATAGAGATTTTTTTCATTTAATTGATACAATAAATTAATATTTTGGGTGCTTTTCCATTTTGCCGGCGCAAGCTGCCGCTTGCGTCTCTAAAAATAGTACAACCGATGCTAAACAGCATATCCTCGCTAGTAGACTTTTACGCCTCATTTTCGAAACAAGTCGCAGCCATTTATTTTCAGATTGATTGTTTCTTTCAATACTGGCATACAATTACATAGAATTTTTACTAGATAGCTCAATTTTATGGCCTAAGACCATTCGCGGTAATTAATTAGGATGCAATCGCACCGCTCACCCAATGGCGAAAACATAGAAAAGGTAAAGTCAAGTTTTAAATTTATCATTTCTAATGAGAATACACTAGCGAAGTAAAGCACTACGGTTTTACATAATTTCTGAGTAAGCTATTTATACGAATTGAAATAATTCTTGCACTTAAACTTGTATTCCAAATTAAGATTTAACTTGAAATTAATGTAGATAATTATTGAGAGAATTAGAGTTTTGTAGCGTAGTCTAAGTGAGATGAGATCACTTGGGGTCACGTGATATGAAACGGCGAATCAGGATGTTGTACCATGAAAGCATAGTAAATTCTTAAATTAATGTCTTTTTAAAAATTTATTGTCTTTTTAGAAAATTTTAAACGATATTAAAATGTTTATGCCTTCAAAATAAAAATTTTATAGAACTAACATTTGATAATATTTTTATGTGTATACTGTGTGTTGTCGCTAATAAAGTCTGCTTGGCGAGACTTGCGCCGGCGAAACGGAAAAGTACCATATTTTGTTGCTTGGTAACCCCACTTTCGAAATTTCTTAGCTTTTATCTTTTTTATTCAAAACCATCATTACTTATAGCAAAACATTTTGGTACTTACGTATTATCCAATAAACTGATCAAGTAATGTGCTTTAACGCGAATTACGGACACCCGCACCCTTTAGAATTCCGCAGTAATTATTGGTGATTGATGACCGTTGCTGCAATTTCCGCCAACGGTCGATGGGTGTTACGAGATTCTACCTGAATTCTGTTCATTCAGTCATACTATATTAAAACAAACGTAA